AGGTGGCCTCTTCAAAAACAACTTAGGAGGCTGGGCACATAGTTCACACCTATATTCCCAGCACTTTGGAAGGCCAAGGCAAGAGGATTGCGTATGCCCAGGAGTTCAAGACCAGCCTGGGCAGCATAGCAAGACCTCATCTCTACAAAAAAATAACAAAATTAGCCGAGTGTGGTGATGTATTCCCAGCTACTCAGGAGGCTGAGGCAGAAGGATTACCTGAGCCCAGGAGGTTGAGGCTGTGGTGAGCTGCAGTGAGCTGTGATCATGCCACTGCATTCCAGCCTGGGCAACAGAGTGAGACCTTGACTCAAAAACAACAAAACAAAAGTGTTTAAGGTATTTGGTTTCTTTGGCTACATTCTCATTCTGTGCTCACAGATTACAAGGGTATTTAGAATGAGGTCAGGGAGGTTTATTTTTGTTTTTGTTTTCTGAGTAGGAATCTCATTCTGTGGCCCAGGCTAGAGTGCAGTGGCACACTCACGGCCACCGCAGCCTCGACCTGCTGGGCTCAGGCTATTCTACCACCTCAGCCTTCCAAGTAGCTAGAACCACAGGAGTGTGCCACCACACTTGGTTAATTTTTTGATTTATTGTAGAGAAGAGGTCTCATCTTCTTGCCCAGGCTGGTCTCAAACCGGTGGGCTTAGGCAATCCTCTCCCCTCTGCCTCCCAAAGTATTGGGATTACAGGCATGAGCCACCACATCCGGCGATCAGGGAGATTTAGTATAAATCCCAGCACCTCTCACACATGCCCTTCTCCTAAGGGCTCATGCACAGATGTGCACCCAGCGCATGTCTCATTAAGGAGCACGTTGCTGGGGAGGAAGAATCAAGTGACACCGAGCACGTGAACCCCCTCCGGCCCTCCATCCCTCTTCTGTTAGAATTCTGAGAAGCAAGTCAGCTGCGAAAGGGCAGTTATATGACAGCAGAAACCACCCAGGGATGCACTGCTTCTCCAGGCATGGCTCCTGGGAGCTGTGCGCCTGGGAACCTGTTATGGACCGTCTTGGGCCTTGCCCTGCATGGACTGAATGGGCCACCAGGGGCGGTGTTGGCAGTCTGCTTCAAGCTCTCCGGAAGATACTGTTGCTCTGATGCTGGAGGACCACTGTGGGTACAGACAGCTATGAAATGGTCACAAGTGAATTGTCTTAATAAACAGGGTAAAGAGGTTAATGAGCAAAAAAGGTTTTCCTTCTCTCCTCCTTCCTCCAATTGCTTCTAGCTCATAGAAGTTCCTTGCATATTTGGCGAAATAGCATTTTTTCTCCTTCATATTTTGGACAAGCCTAGGTCTAAAGAGAAACACACAAAAGGTAGGTCAGACAAGCAAGAAATAGCCATGCCTTTTAATTTTTTGCTGAATCGAAGACTTGTCAATTTTCACAGGATTTGCCAATTGTCTAGTGCTGGTCAAACCTTAAATGTTAGATGTTAATAACATTGGGGGTTATAGGAAAAACAGTGCTTTTTTCTTTTTGACCTGGGGTCTCATTCTATCACCCAGATCATGACTCACTGCAGGCTTGACCTCCTGGGCTCAGGTGATCCTTCCACCTCAGCTTCCCAAGTAGCTGGGACAACAGGTGTGCCCCTCTACACTCAGCTAATTTTTTTTTTTGAGTTGGTGTCTTACTCTGTCCCCCAGGCTGGAGAGAAGTGGCATGCTCACAGCTACTGCAGCCTCAACCTGCCAAAGTGCTGTTATTATAGGAGTCCAGCGTGGCTGTCTGGCTCTGATAATTTTTAAGTTAAATTATTATTATTTTGTGGCGATAAGGTCTTGCTATATTGCCTAGACTGGTTTCGAACTCCTTGGCTCAAGTTATCTTCTGGTCTCAGCCTCCCAAAGTGCTGAGTTTACAAGTGAGAACCACCATGCGAGTGTTGCTTTTTGAATGAGCCACAGGAGGTTTGAATCCTGGCTGTTTTCTATTACTTAGCCTCCCTTGGCCTCTGTTTCTCATCTAAAAAAGACAGGAGACATGTCTGACAGGATTGTTAGGAGGAGTAAATGATAGCACCCAGCAGGTACATGTGGGGCTGGCCTTCCCTCCTACACAACCTTTCAATTGACAGTACATTCTTCAAAAGGTCCATCTTTCCAACCACCAGGGAATTTCAGTGTACGTTTTCCAGAGAATAGCACAAACTTCATTCACGAGGTTCATAACCATTTTTTTTTTTGAGTTGGCATCTCACTCTGTCACCCAGGCTGGAGTGCAGTGACACGTTCACAGCTACTGCAGCCATGACCTGCTGGACTCCTGCGATCCTTCCATCGCAGCCTTCCAAGTAGTGAGAACTACGGGTGTGCACCACCACACCTGGCTAATTTTTTTTTTTTTGTAGAGACAAGGTCTTGCTAAGTGCCCAGGCTGGTCTCGAACTCATGGGCTCAGGCAATCCTCTTGCCTCTGCCTCCCAAAGTGCTGGGATTACAAGCATGATCCACCGTGCTCGGCCAATATTTCTTTATGTTCAAAAGTGTTTTGATCTGAGGAGCATGAAACCAAAGAATATCATTTCATCCTGGTCCATTTTTTTTTTCACACCAAAAGTTGTCACAGCCTGATTTATATTTTATTTAGAGATCCGCTAACACAGTTTGGTTTATGTGCTAACAGTTGTGTTTAAGGAGCTAGTTCTGGAAAAGGCAGATGAGCTGATCAGCATCTTAAGGTCATCAACTTTTTATTTGCTTGAAGATTTCCAATACTAATTCTTCCTTGCCTAGAAATGACGTACAGCAATCCTTTGTTCTAGATCCCAATGGAAGACGAAAACATAGCAAAATGCAATTTAAATATTTGAGGACTCTGACATTTTTCATAAAAACACGAATGTCAATTTTCAAGCAACATTCCACTGTAAAAATGACACTCCACCTACATATCATTTTTTCTTAGAATTCACTTCTACTATCCGGGCATGGTGGCTTACACCTGTAATCCCAGTGCTTTGGGAGGCAGAGGCAAGAGGATTACCTGAGTCCAGGGGTTCGAGACCAGCCTGGGCAACACAACGAGACCTTGTCTTTACAATAAATCAAAAAATTAGCTGGGCATGGTGGTGCATGCCTATGATTCCAGCTACTTGGAAGGCTGAGGTGTAAGGATTGCCTGAGCCCAGCATGTTGAGGCTGCGGTGGCCGTGAGGGTGCTACTGCACTCTAGCCTAGGCAACAGAGTGAGACTGACTCAAAAAAAAAAAAAAGTTGGGCATGGTGGCACACGCCTGTAGTTCCAGCACTTTGGGAGGTGAGAGGATTACTTGAGTCCAGAGGCTTGAGACCAACTTGCACAAATTGGCGTGACCTCGTCTCTACAATAAATAAAAAAACTAGCAGGGCATAGTGGCGCATACCTGCAGTTCCAGCTACTTGGAAGGCTGAAGCAGAAGGATTGCCTGAGTCTAGCGGGTCCAGGCTGCAGTGGCCATGAGTGTGCCACTGCACGCCAGCCTGGGTGACAAAGTGAGACTCAAAAAAAAAATTCACTCCTAGTGAATAGTGAATACAAGTCTTCCCCTGGCCCATAGTGATCCCTGCATTTGCAGGAGGCACCATGTGCAGAGCCCCCTCTCAACCAGCCTTCTAGTGCCTGTATCTTCTAAATGTATTTTTACCTGAAATGTGTGGCTGAGGCCTGATTTTTTTTTTTTTTTTTGAGACAAGGTCTCATTCTGCTGTCCTGGCTGTCCAGGCTGGAGTGGAGTGCAGTGGCATGATCACTCACTGCAGCCTCGACCTCCTGGGCTCAAGCAATTGAGGCCTGAAATTCTGAACTGAAGGATACCTTTTCTTGCAAAGTATCCTTGCAAAGTGGAATTTCAGAAGCAACCATGGCTAGCACCTATAACTGTGACAAGCAGAAGGTTAGGTCCACTCTATTCTCCATTCTTGCATCATTATCCTCAGTTACTTTTTTTTTTTTGAGTTGGTGTCTTACTCTGTTGCCCAGGCTGGAGTGCAGTGGCACGATTGCGGCTCACTGCAGCCTTGAGCTCCTGTGGTCAACATCTTGAGCAGGTGGAACTACAGGTGTGCATCACCATGCCTGGCTTGTTTTTTATTTTTGTAGAGATGAGGTCTTGTTATGTTGCCTAAACTGGTCTTGAATTCCTGGGCTCAAACAATCCTCCCATCTCAGCCTCCCAAAGTGCTGGGATTATAAACATGAGTCATGGTGCTCAGCCTTGATTTGTGCTGTCTTTAGGCAAAAATCTCCTGGCCTCTTTTTTCTTTCCTGTAAAAGTTGGGCAAGATGATCTCTAGACCCATTCTTGGTCAAACTGACTGTTCACAGCATCTTTTTTTCTTCTCCATTTTGAGTCAGGCAGCTCCCAGAACCAGGCCAGGTTCAGAGTGACTCCCCTGTTCGGCGTCTCCACAGAGTATCCACTTATCTGATTCTCACAATCTTATGACTTGATGCTGCTACTAACATCTTCATTTTACAAGTGGAAAATGCTGGCTGGGTGTGGTGGCTCACAATGGCTGTCACAGTGCTTTGGGTGGCCGATGCAAGAGACTTGCTTGAGGCCAAGAGTTTGAGAACAGCCTTGAAAAAATAGTGAGACCTCGTCTCTCAAAAAACCCCACAAAATTAGTGGGTGTGGTGGCACACACCTGTAATCCCTACTTGCAGGAGCTGAACCTGAGTTCAAGGCGGCACTGAGCCATGATGGTCACTGCACCCTAGCCTGGGCAACAAAGTGAGACCCTGTCTCTCTTTTTTGGTCGAATTTATTGATTTATTGAGAAAACAGAAAAGCTCCCACAGTGGGATGGGACCTGAAGGAGTGACCTGAGACCCTGTCTCTTAAGGAAAAAAAAAAAAAAAGGAAAATGCTCCTCGGGTCAGGGGAACTGCCCAAAGTTCTGCAGACTCAAGAAGATGACCCAGCAGGAAAACGATTCTTCAGACATTCCCACATATCCTCTTCCTGTTTCCTCTGGGTACACAGATACTCAGAAATAAAACCATATACCCATTTAATTAAATGTTTATTCAATGAAAGATGTATAAAAACTTACAAATTTGAGAACTCAACTATACATGAAATAGGACAATGGGATATTCAGTTTTTAACATATACATACAGCATAGCTATTAACTATTTTCTCCCTTCCCTTCCCCTTCAGTCCTTATTTCTGGCTCCTATTTTGTCTGTGAGACCATTCTTTTATTGGTCTAGGGGAAGATTAATGGACAATTTTTACTGCTTTCAGGCCAATGGAAAACATTTCAGGCATTAAAACCTCGAAAACCTGGAGAATAAACATCAAAACCAAGTTTTTTCCCAAACGGCAATTAGATTTTCTTGTCCTGATTTCTCTTTGCCATTTGTTTTTGATGCTTCGACTAATGTTGCCAGTAAACTATTAGCACTGACTTTTAAAGTCATTAAAGTCACTGCATCTTGTGCTTACAACTTCCCCTGTGAGACGCAGATTCCTGCGTCTTTTCCCTGCAGTACACACACTGATTTAAAAGCAGTTGGTTGGTGCAGAAATGACCACTGGCAACTGCTAGAGTGGCATGCCATTTTCTTTTCAGAAAGACAGTCCATAGAACAGTACTTTCAAGTTTGATTTTTAAAACAAGTAACACATTTGTCAGAAACTAAAATACAGCATTTTGTTTTTTCAATTTGGAAAGAAGCCAGCAATTAGATAAGGCATGTGCATTAATTCACCTGTTTATAGCAAGTATCCACGTTTTCTCTTACAAACACACAAACTCACAGCTTGTCATGCTTTAGTCAAGAATTAAGATTGCCATCACATTATTACTTTGCTTTTTTGTGTTTTGTTCAAGTAGATCTCTTAACTAATGATTTTTCTTAACTGGACATAATCTCAAAGGATGCATTCTGAAATTAGACACCTGGAGAATAAATTCTAAGAACATCTTCTTGGGTTTGAAGTTCCCCCACACCTTCTAGATTTTGCATAGTACAGAGGCCAGCTGTATCACTAGGAAGCATGCTGTATTTTCTGACATTGTTTTTCTGAGAAGGAAGACTTATTACCCAGGGAAAGTCATAATTTTAGGTCACCAGATTGCATTCTAGTTGTTTTGTTGTGTTATATACCCTTCATTAGTTCCAGGTATGCTTTTAAATAATTGAAAATTTCTCAAAATCGATTTGAATTTATAAGTACTACTGACCATTATCTTTCCAGTATCCCCTGAATTAGAGTCAATACATTCCAGGTTTATAATGCACAACCTTTACAAAGATGGGGCTGGGAAGGGGAGAAGGGGAAGGAGACAGAACCAGGGACCTGTTTGTATCATGCCATGGAGGGCTACAGTTCTGAGCTGAGGGAAGGGAAGGAAGAGAGTCTTTGTAAAAATGACAGTTTTTTAAAAAGATAAGAGACCTTCAGTCTAATAAAACGGTTTCCTGTTCCTTTTTGATGGAAGCCAACACCGGGTGGTCAGGTTCCGTTACTTCCGAATCCCCGCTGCCCAGCAGAATGGACCGCCCTTCGTCTAGGGCAAACACGTCCGAGTTCTGGTTTTGGCATGAATGTTTCACCACCTCGTTGGGTGTTGAGAACGTTTTGTCGCACAAGTTGCATTTGTAGGGTTTGTTGGTTTGGACCAGCATGTTGTCCATCTGACTCCCTTCCTCGAAGGTGCAGAGCTCCAGAGTCTGCTTGTCCACCATGGTGTACGTGTCGATGCTCTGGTTGAGGCACACGTGGCGGGCGGCCTGGTTGGCCCTGCAGAAGCTCTTGTCGCACGTGCTGCACTTGAAAGGCTTCCCGGTGTGAATGTACATGTGCTCCCTCCAGTGGCTCTTCTGGATGAATTTGCGCCCGCAGATCGTGCACTCGTACTTCCGCCTCTTCACCTCCCGCTCCTGGTCCGCCTGCTCCAGGTTGTCGATGTCAGCGATGTCTGAGGGGGGTGGGGTTTCTGACTGCTGCTGTCCGTCGATGATTGGAGAATCTGAGATGTGCTGCAGCTCACTGTCACTTATCATCCCAGCTTCAGGCACTTCCATGGCGTCTTTCCCGAGGTCGGCTGCGTTGCTACAGAGAGACAGGGGCACGCGGCTCTCGCCCTGCTGGCTGGAGGTGAAAGGGACGCCCGTGTGGATCTGCAGGTGTTCGCGCAAGCTGCTGCGGAGCGTGAAGCGCCGCCCGCACAGGTGGCAGGCGTAGTACTTAGGAAAGCTCCCGTTCCTCTTCATGATGCTCGGCTTGACGTGGGCTATGGTGAGGGACGCAGGCTGCTCATCCGAGGAGGAGGCTTCCAGGTTGGTCTCCTCCCCGGGAGGAGGGGGGGGAACGGGAGTGGAAACGAGTTCTGGAGACAGCGAGGTCTGCAGAGGGTCCGAGGGAGTCATATTTGTCCGATTCACCTGCGCCAGATTTGAGGTCAGCTGAGAGAGCTGTGAGGCCTCAGGCACCTGCTCCTGGCCCATCCTGGAGGTCTGGGGCCTTGGCTCTCGCCCGAGTTTTTCAGGTGCTGAAGCAATCTTGGTGGCTTGTCGCAACTGATGGTCTGCAATCTGAATGCCATACAAGGAAGAAGCCAGTGGGAAAACTTGGTCAGGGTGGGAAAAGGCTCCTTGGCTGGCGAGGCTGGCTTCCTGGATGAGTGGGTAAGCGTGCAGAAACTTGATCCCCTGTTCTAATCGAACGGGGTCGATGAGCTGAGGCGCCATCTTCCCAGTGTACATCAGGTGCAAGAGATAGCTGAAGATGTCGGGCTGTATGTCAGTTGGTTTCAAACGAACGCACTCACTGAAAGAAGCAAGTAAAAAACCTATAAGTCAGCATCAACCTAGGATTCAAATGATAACATAAAGCCCGAAAAAACCGGCCACTTCAAACAAGGGAAACATTTCCCATTTCTGACTGTAAGTTTCATGAAATGGGATGGAATCATCAAGAGATAAAGTTCATGTTAAACAAGTATAATATCTTAACCCAAAGACTCTTAGAGCAGCTTTCACCTAGTAATCGAATGTCAAGGTAAATGTTATGCATTATATTTATAAATAGAACCTCAAGAGTTCTTTAGTGAGGGAGAGCAGAAGCACAGCTGCTGGGTGGGCATGCTCTCTCCTTTGCTTGCTGTTCATTCTCATTTTACAGTAAAGTGTTGGGACTCAGGAGTAATACCTTGCTCAAGATCACCCACTTGGTAACTGAGACTTGAACCTAGGTCTGTCTAATTCCAAAGTCACTACACCAAGGCCTTCACAGAATTAAAACAGTCCTATGTGGTAGACTGATAAGGTGGATTTGATAATTTTCATTTGACAGATATGGAAACTGACGCCCCCCAAAATCAAGTGATTTATCTGAGACATCTAAAGCAACTGACGGTACTGCTGATTTCTAAATTTTTAATTTAATTTTTGAGTTGGAGTCTCACTCTGTCACCCAGGCTAGAGTGCAGTGGCACTACCATGGCTCACTGCAGCCTCAACCTCCTAGGCTCAGATGATTCTTCCACCTCAGCCTCCCAAGTAGCTGGGACCATAGGCGTGTGCCACCATTCCTGGCTTGCTTTTTAAAAAAATATTTTGTAAAGATGAGGTCTCCCTATGTTGCCCAGGCTGGTCTCGAATTCCTGGACCCAAGTAATCCTGCCTTGGTCTCCCAAAGCGTTGGGATTATAGGCATGAGCCACCCCACCTGGCCCAATTTTCTAACTTTTGGACTCTACTGTTTGCATCATGTCAGAATCATCATCCTGATCAAGAAGCAATAATGGAGAGGCCTCCAGGAACTCTTCCCAGACACTCAGTAAGGACAGAAATTCTAATGCATCATTAGCAAGCAATGATATTTATGTATCTATCTATCTATCTGCATATCATGAGGCATATATTAGCATCCACTGAGTGAATATATATATTTTTTTAGAAAGCAGGATTTATTGAGAGGACAGACAGAAAAGCTTCCACAGTGGGAGGGGACCCAAGGGGGTTGCCTGAACAATATTATTTCAACTTCAAAGACAACATTTTTATTATATCACTTCTGGGTATTGTAATTCTTTTGGCTCTTTTAGCAATTATGTTCATTTTATTAACAAATATTTTCTTTCCTTTCTTTTTTTCTTTTTTTGAGTCAGAGTCTCACTCTGTTGCCCAGGTTAGAGTGCAGTGACACACTCATGGACACTGCAGCCTCGACCTGCTGGGCTCAGGTGATCCTTCTACCTTCTAAGTAGCTGGAATCATGGCATGTGTCACCATGCCTGGCTAATTTTTTAATTTTATTGTAGAGAGGAGGTCTCACCAAATTGCCCAGGCTGGTCTCAAACCTATGGGCTCAGGCAATCCTCTTGCCTCCGCCTCCCAAAGTGCTGGGATTATAGGCGTGAGCCACCATGCCCAGCTAACAAATATTTTCTTTTCTTTTCTTTTCGTGTTGGAGTCCTACTCTGTCACCCAGGCTGGGAGTGCAGTGGCATGCTCACTGCTGCTGCAGCCTCGACCTGCAGGGCTCAGGAGATCCTTTCGCTTCAGCCTTCCAAGTAGCTGGAGCTACAGGCACGCGCCACCACGCCTGGCTAATTTTTGATTTACTGTAGAGATAAGGTCTCACCAAGTTGCCCAGGCAGATCTCGAACCCATGGGCTCAGGCAATCCTCTCACCTCGGCCTCCCAAAGTGCTGGGATTATAGGAGTGAGCCACTGTGCCTGGCCAAATATTTTCAATATGCTAAAATATTAACAGCATATCCTGTTCTTCTATATTTAACATTTTGATTCAGAACAGATTTCAGTAACTATTGTATTGCTATCAATGTGTCTGTATTTCAAAAAGTCTGCATACAAATAATCACATGAAAAATATCAGCCTACAAAAAGAAAGGAAGTAGAAAAATAAAAATTAAGCATCAAAACTAGCATCCCAGCCAGGCGTTGTGGCTCTTATCTGTAATCCCAGCACTTTGAGAGGCTGAGGTGAGAGGAATGCCTGAGCCCACAGGTTCGAGACCAACCTGGGCAATATGGCGAGACCTCATCTCTACAATAAATTTAAAAAAAATTAGCTGGGTATGGTGGTGCATACCTGTAGTCCCAGCTACTTGGAAGGCTGAAGTAGAAGGATTTCCTGAGCCTGGCAGGTTAAGGCTGCGGTGGCTGTGAGTGTGCCACTGCACTCCAGCCTGGGCGACAGAGTGAGACTCTGACTCAAAAAACAAAACAAAAAACTAGCATCCCTTTGACAATAAAAAGGGAAGAATATATGTGGCTCTACTTTTCTTTAAAAAAAGACATACAGGCTAATCATATTTTTATTTGTAGTCCTCTTATATCCCTTTATTATATTATTATTTTGTTTTTTTGAAGCAAGGTCTCACTCTGTCGCCCAGGCTGAAGTACAGTGATGTGATCCTGGCTCACTGCAGCCTCGACCTCCTGGGCTCAAGGGATCCTTCCATCTCAGCCTCCTGAGTAGCTGGGACTACAGACATGTGCCACCACACCTGGCTAATTTTTTGATTTTTTAATATTTTATAGACACGAGGTCTCACTGTGTTGCCCACGCTGGTCTTGAAACTCCCGCCTCAGGCTACCCAAATGCTGCAATTACTGGTGTGAACCATGGACTGGTCTTATATCCCCTTACATAGGAATGAAAATACCTGTGGCATTCCCTTTAAGCACAAGATGAGTTCTAGCAATATCACATGTATACCATAACATACTTAGATGCTCTAGGGAACTTTGTTATTCAAAACAGAGCTTCAGGGATTATGTGTGAAGACTTTACCAATGGAACCAATCAACTCCCAAGTAAAGAAATGACCAAGGGGAAACTTTCAGGATCAGGCTAAGGCCTGGAAACTTGGGAAACCACAGGCGTTCAGAGATGGAAATTACCCCAGCCTGTCAGGCACCCTTTCTTCTGCAGAGCAGGAACATTCCTCAAGGGAGAAGGAGGGGACAGGAGAAAGCCCCCCCGCCCCCCGCAGGGAGCTCCCTCCACTTCAAAAGGTTGCTCCCAGCAGAGTCCCCTTCCAGAAAAACATAGGTATGAAAGGTTAGTGATCTTCCTCTCACTTGTTGCTTTTCACCTCTGAGTGGTGATTCGACAGTAAACCTCTTAAATTTGAAAGGCCCATGGACAGTCTCTGATGGCAAAGGACAGAGCTGGGGACACCTGGGCCCACACTTCAGCTAGGCCTGTAGGGAAAAGGACTCCAAGGGGTCAGGCAGCATTGGTGACAGCCAGGGACAAGAAACAAGAGTACCCAAGGTTTATGGCCAGGAGCTCTGGGCTCAGACACCAATTATCTTGATTTATTTTTAAAAATATTTATTTTAAAGCAACACGTGTGTACACATGTGTACACATGTGCGCGCACGCACACACACACACTTAAAAAACAAGTGGAACTTTTCAATGTTCCTTATGTTGCGTTTCAGCCACATCCATCCTTGACTGCTTTGACCCCAGACATCTTGGCCTTTCTCAACCACTCAGCCCCCTATGACCAGACTTTGGTCACTTCCCAGTCCTTTGGGAAAGATGCAGTTCTCTACAATATAATTATATCTAAGTGGTTTCATTTGCAGATATCTGTTTACATAGCACTTTGACACAGGAAAAAGATGAATACAGTTTTGGTATCAAGCCCTTCTATATAAACTTTCAGAGTAATTTCCATGTTCAATTTTCCCTTCACTCGAATTATAACATAAACTATAGGTTTAAAAACTTCAATGACTTTTAAAGAATGTTAGCATTGTTAGAAGACTGTACTCCAGAAGGCCTGACCCTCAGTAGTTTTATTTTTGAGAGCTTAAAGTCTGCAGTCCTCCAAGATTTACTCACACTCAGAGTAGCAGACATAAGACAGAGACACCTAGTGGTAACTACAGACATAAATCATCTTCTGAGCTAAACTTGAAACTAAAATTCTGACTGTATTCTCAGTCTGAGTAGCCAGGTGGGACCTAGGGCCTCACACACAAGGTGCTGGCTTAAAGGCGGGCCCCTGCTCTGCACCCTGAATTTGCCTTGCTTTGGTGAGCTCAAATCATGCATGTGGAGGGACACAGGGTCAGCCACCAGGCACATGTTATGTCTGGTCCAGTGACACATGCTGTTGCTTACACTTGACACTTCTATCACACAAGTATCAACATTCCCTTGTTAGAAAAACATGTACGTACTGCCCTATATGCAAGGTAAGGTTCTCGCCTCTAACTGAAATCCATGACATTGTGTTGTTTTACTCCTCAAAATTAAACCTGCCCCCTTTTCAAGACAATTTAAAGGAGCATCCTCAGTGCTACCATATTAAGCCTCCTCCTTGGTTGTTCTGTCATTATCCCTCTGCTCTTCTAGACATTTATCAAGTGGCTGCTGGATTATGTGCAAATACCTCAGTTATACTCTGTGGTGGCCACAAAGATTTGGAAAGCCCAGTCTCTGCCCCCACGAAACACGTACATGAGGAGAGGGGGTAAGCACACAGATAACAACATGGGGAAAACATGTCGCTCTTGGAAGGGGCACAGTGCTGTGAACCACAAGGGAGGCAGAGGTCACTGCTGATCGTTTGGTTCACTTGACAGGGGAGGGGTCGTGGAAGAGGTGATGTAGGAGCTGGACTCGAGAAGTGGACAGGATACTAGCCAAGTGTGGTTCAGGTGAGCCGAAGCCATGATAGCAGGTCTGGTCAAGGTGAAGGTGAGGGGTGGAGTGTCCCAGAGGGGCCCAGTCAGAGACAAGGCTGGAAGGAGTCAGGCTCCAAGCCTGTGGGACCTTGAATGACAGAATAAGGAGCCTGTATAGTGGGCATCCTCTAGGTTTCTGAATAATACATCCTAGTAGAGTTCTGTTCAGAGGCACACCACAATCAAAGCAGTGTTCAGAAATGTTAGTCTGACAGTAATGTGGAAAATGAATGATTAGGTGATAGAAGTGAGAAAAGGAAGGAAAGGACAAATGTGAAAGCTAATTTGAAGAAAACATGATTTGGGGACTGATAAGATGTGATTCAAAAGAGATTTTAAGCTTGGGTTACTTGAAGGTAAGAAAATAGGCGAGTCAGGAGGGACTTCAGGGAAGAGTCTTAATTCAGTTTTAGACATCATCAGTTAGATAAAAGGAGAGATACTCAACTCTAAAAGCCCATCGCACAGTCCAGGGCCTTGGGAATAGAGGTCTGGAGACAGAAAAGTCAAGGCCAGAGCTATAAACTGAAGTTTCCAGCAGAGTCGAGATCTAGGCAACAGACAAACACCCACAGGAGTGCCCAAGGCCAAACTCACAGAAGGCCCAGGGTCAGAGGACAGAAAGCAAGGGATGTCCAGCCATAAGACGCAGATGACAGTCACGTACAGAGGAAGCGGGTGGCAGCAATGCTGCGGAGGACAGGATGCTGGAGCTGACAAGAAGGGCAGTGGTTTTGAGGAGGGGTGACCTTTGAGAACCGGTTTCAGCAGTGATGGGGTGGAAACCACAGTGCAGACGGATAGGAAGAGTGTGGGATGAGGAGAGTGCAGAGAGGACCTCGCTTACCCTTGTGAGGACTTACATAGTACAGTGAAGGAGCAGCGCATACCTCAAGCCGACAGCAGTGTCGAGGATGTCCTGATCGCTCATGGACTGGAGTGAGGGTGGGGGAGGAGGGAGGAATGAAAAGCAAAAAAATAAAAAACAGAATAAAAACCGAGGGGTAGGATCTGGCAGTATGAGGGAGGAAGGTCATTTTCCCTAGACACTGAGAGGCCCTCTTCTCTAAGATAGGAGGGATGGGAAGAAGAAAACCTTTTAAGATAGAAAAGAGGGAAACTGGAGGAATCCATGCCCTTAAGCCTCTCACTAGAGTAGAAGACAAGAATCATTGTTGAAAGTTAGGGGGATACATAAGGGATGGGGGTGGGGGAGTGAAAGAAAGAGCTTGGGTAATGAGTCCAGAAATCATCACCGACAGAAGGGTCCCCTGAGGCTGGGTGGCTACTTTGCAATGGACCTGACCCTGTGGAGCCCGACTGTGCAGGTGACACCCACCGAGGACACTTGGAGGTGGCGGGCTGTGTGGAGTTTGCAGTCTGGGACTCTCCAGTGCTACTGAAGGCATGAGTATCAAGAAGGACAGGGGACAAAGGGTCACAAGGGAACTGGGAACCTTGGAGCTGGGAGAGGAGAGGCCCATGGTCTTGATGAGGACAAGGGACCCAGAGGTTAAGAGGGGTCTATAGGCATTAGGTTATTAGCAACCACTTTAGTTACCTGGTCTGATGGACAAACAACATCTTAAAGTAATTGGAGAATGAAGCAAGAACTGATTTGTGTGCCTTGAAGTACACATCGCCGATTGCAACCGTGCAGTCACACAGGAAACCAAACTCTCGCTGAGCGTTTAACTGTTGCAGGAGAATAAGTCCATGGTTGGCCAAATCCATTTTTAAAAAAATCTGCAAAGCAAACAATTTTATTTTTAAGAAAGGTGATTCACAAATACGTCTGTGTCCTTTATAGTCACCAACAGTAAAGAGCATAGCTAACATGTCATCACAGCCAATGTGGCAGGCACTGCGAAAAATGTTACATAAATTAACTCATTTAGTCTTCACAACAGTCCTCTGAAGTACTTTTGTCATAACTTTTTTTATAAGATGACGTTATTTTAGGGTCTTTTAGGGTAAACTGCAGAGTTAACATGATTTGCCCAAGCTCATACAGAAGGTAATGGAAAACCCAGGAAATGAACTCAGGTGATCTATCCTCAAACATCAAGTCCTAGAGAAGGCAAATATCCTGGACCATTTGGTCTTTTAGTTTAAGATCCCAAATGCAAATTCTTTTTTTTCTTTTTGAGTTGGAGTCTTACTCTGTAGCCCAGGCTTATGACTACAGCCTAGACTTCCTGGGCTCAGGCGATCATTCTGCCTCAGTCTTCCAAGTAGCTGGGACAATAAGCGTGTATGACCACGCCTGGCTAATTTTTTGATTTATTGGAGAGATGAGGTCTTGCCAAGTTGCCTAGACTGGTCTTGAAGCCCTGGGCTCAGGTAATCCTCTCGCCTCTGCCCCCCAACCAAATGCAAATTCTAATGATGCATCAGAGTTTGTCAAATCTTCTGCAGAGACAGATAAATTAAGGTGATGGGGGATGGGGTCACAGCAGGGCAGGGTGGAAATCTTACTAAGTTTGGGGCAACGTTCCAGTTCCTGCTGTGTGCTCCTGCCAGTGACAGAAGAACTGACAACTTCATCGTCCCCTTGACTCTTCAAACCAGGGCAGTGAAGAAGTGTACTGCGGCTCTGCCTCCTTTGTTGTGGAGGAGGTAATGGGTTTTGAGAGGAATAAGTAATTTGTCCCAGAATTTCCAGGTGAAAGGTGAGGGAGACAAAATTTCAATGTGAATGTTCCGATTCCAAGTTCTATGATTATCGTTATTTACACTTAACCCTAGCAACACACCCAGACCTGAATCTATTTTTATAGTAGAGTAGCTGCCTAATGTCACTTAGTTCATCAAATCACTAGGCTGTTCCTTTTCTACAAACAGCAATTAAAAAATTCCATTACACATAGATCAACATTATACTTAACATTATACTTAATAGTGAGAAAGGGTGAATGCTTTCTCCTTAAGATTAGGAACAAAGCAAAAATGTCTGCTCTTAGTATGCAACATAGTACTAGAAGTACTAGCTAGTGCAATAAAGCAAGAAAGGAAATAAAAGGAATACAGATAAAAAAGAAAACAATCCCTATTTGTAGATGACATAATTGTAATATAGAAAGTTCCAAGGAATCTATAAAACTAGATCTAATAATGGAGTTTGTCAAGGTCATAAACACACTCAAAAAAACCAACTGTAAGCCGGCCTTGGTGGCTCAGCCTGTAATCCCACACTTTGGGAGGCTGAGGTGAGTGGATTGCCTGAGCCCACGGGTTTCGAGACCTGCCTGGGCAACTTGGCGAGACCTCATCTCTACAATAAATAAAAAAAATCAGCCAGGCTTGGTAGCGCGTGCCTGTAATTCTGGCTACTTGGAAGGCTGAGGTGGAAGGATCACTGCAGCCCAGTGGGTCGAGGCTGCAGTGGCCGGAAGCAGCCACTGCACTCCAGTCTGGGTGACATAGTGAGACTCTAACTCAAAAAAAAAAGAAAAGAAAAAGCATTGTCTATTTGTTTGGCACAATTTCTATTGACAACCATCTTGTAACAAGGTGAGGGTCAATTTGAAACCAAGAAGGGAAGGGCCCAGGAGAAGAGGCCTAGGTCCTGATTGTCCTATGCCTAGAGCCCATCCTACCCAAGGAGTTCCAGAAGTGTGAGGTGAAAAGTATTGTTCAAGCCCATTTGAATCAGACTTCTCTCCCTTGTAAGCAATGACATCCTAACAAATGCACTAATTTTTGTGTGCAACTAAGTCCCAGCAGTCTTCTCTCCTTTGACAGTCATGAAGATGATACATTTAACATTTTGTGAGTTAATTTTTTTAGTCTGATGTCTTATAATTTAATGCATGTTTATTTTGTTCTTGTTTAAAGTGTATAACCAGGCCAGGCTCAGTGGCTCAGCCTGTAAGCCCAGTACTTTGGGAGGCTGGGGTGAGTGGAATCCCTGAGCCTGTGGGTTCAAGACCCAATTGGACAACTTGGAGAGACCTGTCTCTACAATAAATCAAGAAACTAGTGGGGCATGGTAGTATGAGCTGGTAGT